AGCGACCCTGTACAGGGTTTCTGAGGTTGTAAATCTTTACGGGAGCAGAAAGCCTCATCTTTCTCCCGCGGAACAGCTAGTAGTTTTGAACTGCTGACCTTGCGGTTCGCAGTCCGATTCGTAACCACTACGCTACCAGAGCTCCTGTACTGGGTTGATATGGACATTAAATTTAGACATTGGCTATCAAAAATGGGGGTACATAAAGGCATGAAGTGGCTGGCTTACAAGCTTTCATGAGTGTGCTTAGTTTCAGAATGAGGTGGGTAAGGTAGAATCACCACTGAATAATTTCCCTCTTTTCCAGATGGATCTAATGAAAGAGGATGGGGGATGCCAGTGATAGGAATTTACAACAATTGTGAGGAATTGTTAAAAAGATTAATTGTGATTGTTACAACTGTAATCATAAGATGTGTAACTAAAAGAGGGGAGTAATTTCTCTTTCATTTCAGGAACAGATGACCCTAGGACCATCAAGAAGGAAGAGCATGTGTGGAGTGTAAAATCCCTACTTAGAAAAGCAGTGACAGTGGCAGAGGCCATGCCATGGAGAGACAGAGCAGTTGGGGGCTCTAGACCCATGGACTAAGAAAGACTGTGTGCCTGCAGGCAGGAGGCTGGCAGGCAGAATTTGCCCTTTGGAAATTTAAATATATATATTTTATTTTGTAAGTGTGCATAAAATATTTTTGCTTTGCTCATTTGTGAAATATAAGCTGTAAATGGGGAGTCACAGGGAAGAAGATTTCGCATGGAGGGAATTTTAGTCATAGGGATAGGGCTAAGTGAATAATTTGTTGAATGTAAAGCAGATGGTGTTGTCTGTAAACCTTCACCCAATTCACAGGTAATAAAAGAGAGACAGAGAAAAACAAAACAAACAAACAAACAAAAAACCAAAACATACTGAGACTTGTTTTGTGGACTAACATATGGTCTACTCTGGTGAATGTTTCATGTACAATGGCAAACACTGTGAATTGTGCTGTTGTTGGGTTGAGTGCTGATTGTGTTGTTTAGTTCTTTATCTTTGCTGAATTTTTCTAGTTGTTCTGTCCTTCCTTTATGGAAAGTGGTGTGTTAAAATCTCCTACTATTACTGTAGTATTGTTTATTTCTCTTTTCAATTAGGGTTTAATTTATGTATTTGAGGCTCTTCCATTGGGAGCATAGTTATTTATTATGGTGACATCCTCGTTCTCTTGTTCAACTGACTCTTTAATCATGAGATAAAGCCCTTCTTTGCCTCTTAGCTGGTTTTTGCCTTAAAATTTATTTTAATATTGCCATGTCTGCTCATTTTGATTGCCACTAGCTTGATAAATATTTTCCATCCTTTGATTTTTAATCTATTTTTTTGTGTCTTTGTGTATAAGATGTGTCTCTTGTAGACAGCATATTGAAGGATCCTGTTTTCTTTCTCTCTGTCTCTTGACTGGTGCATTCAATCCAATGATATTTAGTGTAATTATTGATAGGTATAAATTGATTGCAGTCATTTTGCTGTGTTTTTGCGGTATTTTTTTGTGGTGATGCTCTATTTTTTTGTTCTACATAGTTTTCTGTTGAGTTCATTTTGTTTGTGTGTTTTTTATTTTTTTGATGCTGCTGTTTTAATGTTTAGAAAATCTTCAGGGTTTTTCCCTTTTCCTGATTTCATGCAAAGTTGTACTATTTTTTTTGAAGTTTTCTGTAATTTATTAATTTCTTCCCAAATTTAATACAGTCTATTTTATCTTGAAATGTACTTGACTTCCTTGCTATTTGTAATTCTGTAACTATACTTTTCTCTCCTTTTGCTTTGTAGTTGTCTTGATTATAAATTGGTATCTCTGAGTCCCTATTTTTAGTCTTGCATGTTTGTTTTACTTTGGATACTTCTCTATCTGTATTGAATTCTGCGTGGTGTTGCCATTTATGTCAGTCTCCATTGGATGTCTGCTGTTGTTGATTCTCAGTCTAAAGGACTCTCTTCAGTGTTTTTTTTGTAAAGTTGGCCTGCTCTTTACAAGTTCCTTCAATTTCTGCTTAATTGGAAATGTTCTGATTTCACCATTATGGTTGAGGGATAGTTTTGATGGCTATGTTTTTGGATGGTAATTTTTTTCTTTCAGATTTTTGTATATGTCTCCCCATTTCCTTCTTGTCTGCATGCTTTCTGCTTAGAAATCAGAGCATTTTCTTTCTTGTTACCCTTTGTCTGTAACTTTGCATTTTTCCTAAGCTGCTTTCAGGATTCTTAGGTTGTGTTTGATTTTGGAATCTTATTATGGTATTTCTTGGTAATTTTCTTTGGGGATCTATCCTGTTTGGGGTTTGTTCAATTTATCGAATTCTTATCTTCTCAACCTTCATGATGTTACAGAAATTTCCTTTCAACAGCTCTTTGACTACCTTTTTTGAGTTTTTCTTTGCTCTTCCTGTTCTGGAATTCTGATCACTTAAAAGTAATTCATGTTGTTCCACAGACATCTTCAGATTTTTCATTCTTTTTTTCTGACTGTTCTTCTAGCTTACTAGCATTGAGAGATTTATCTTCAATATCAATAATTCTGGCTTCCATTGATTCAAATGTACTCCTTTGCCCTTTTGATGTATTGTCCATTGCAGGTTTTGTATTGTCTCCAATACTTTATCTGTTTTGTTTGATTGTTCTTGTAGTGCTTTCCTGAATTATTCCTTGTTTTCTTCAACATTTCTGTTAATCATTTGAAGGTTTCATATCATTCTCTTAAATTATTTTTCAGGTAGTTCCAATGCCTTTTTCCCTCAAAAACATTTTCTATCTCTGCCTTTTGATCACTTGTCTGAGCCACTCTATCTTATTTCTTTGTGTGAACAGAAATTGTCTGCTACTTTCAAAACATTACGGTGTTGTTGTAATTGTATTAAGCTGATGACTGTATGCTTGTGTATTCATAGGCACTCATCAACTGCCTGTTGGTGGGTGTGAACAGGAGATGAGCTTGTGAACCCTTCTCTGTTAGCTGTTCATGCAGTTTAGTTCAGGGTAGATTTAGCTTATGTTTGTTGCAGTTGTTGATCTGATGTATATAGCAACTGGCATTTGTTCTTGCCAGTGGGTGGGGTTGTAGAGGGTATGGCTAAAGCCGTATTGTACGCAGTAGCCGACTACTTTATCTCTGTGAGCCCCAGGCACATTTCTGCAACTGCAATATGTTTTCTTGTCTCTGAAGCCACCAAGACTGCTCAAGATAGCTGTGTCCATCTTGTCGGCATGCACAGGTCTTCCATCTCTCATCTTTTTGCCACATGTGCTCAGCTCTCTTTCATAATAAGCATTCTATCTACTTCTCTATCCCTCCATCTGAAGCTCAGAGGTTCCAGAACTATCATCTGCATCTGCTTCATATGGTTTCTGTATCTTTGTCATACAGGGCTCATATAGCCTTTCTGCCTAGCTTATCTTGCTGCTTCTCTTTTATGAATAATTTATTTTCTTTTTAATACTGAAAAAAATAATAAAGAATATAGACTATTATATAATAATTTTTATGGTTTTCCCTAACACATCTTAAATGTGTTGTTGTTGTTAAGTGTCATTGAATTGGTTCCAATTCACAGTGACACTGTATAGTGTCAAATAGCGACTGGCGGGTTTGAACCACCAACTTTGCAATTAGCAGTCCAATAACTATCCTACAGTACCACACCAGGATTCCTCTCAAAGATTTAGAGTTCTCATAAAATTCACTTCCACTGTTGTATGAAGTCAATTATTAAAAAATATCTCTTCACTCAACAGAAACAGAATTCTCTGGCAGCCAGCTGTGTCTAAACATCAAAGTAGAAGCTCTTTATCTTTAGTAAAAGCTATTCTTAATTATGATGGAGACTTAAATCACATTTCAGTGAGATGCTAAGGGTTTTGCCTAGAAGCTTTGGAGCTTGCTTGCATCATTAAATGTATCATGGTGATTGAGGGCATTTTATTAACCACCTGGAAATTTTAGGTTATATACATTTAGAACTCATTAGGATTAATGACTATACTATCACAGCTGTGACAGAATCAACTGGAGAAAAATCACATCTAAAAAGTCCACAGATTCTATTATCTCCCATTCACACAGGTTCTGGATTACATCTCTGGGCTTGGATTTCATCAGCTTATTTCTGAAACAGGCATTGAACACATCTAGAGCTCTTCTGAGATAACAATTGTGTAATTTTTCTTGGGGAAGGCCTCTACTCTCTGGAGGAATCACTGAAGGCTACTCATCTCTGGGAGCCAGACCATCAAGGATTCCAAATACCCCTGAGCTGCTTAATTGGGGAAAATAAGACCAGTTAAAAAGGGGTTCTGGTAGATGAGTGAGCCTATCTTTATGTCAGACCACTCTGGGAACTCCTTCAAGGTTCCCACTGTTATCGAAACATAACCCCATTGTTATAGAAACAGAAGCTGAAGCCAGCTTTGTAAAATCCTGACTGAGAGTGAAAGATTACTGCTATTCTGAAAATAAAAGCCTATCATTTCATATTAACTAAAGCATCTGTTTTGGTTGCTAAATTAGTGATTTGTATTGTGGGACTATTTCAAACGTTGGTTTCTAAATATTTCCAATGGGTAAAATCCTAGATACCAGAGATGACAGTATAATAAAATTGTCATTGCAATGGAGTACAAAGGTAGAGAAACTTTTAAATTAATGCTGATTGCTTTGATTTCTGTGTTGATACCACCAAGTTTATTGGTGTACATGGACTCAGGTTTCTTTTGACTGAAAAATAAATATATCTAATAGCTGAACCCAGAGCTTACTAACTGTACCCGAAGGACAGTTAAATTGCTTATCTAATATTTTAGTTCATATGAAATCAAATGATTTAACATATTAAGGCTAAAGATAAAAATTGAACAGAATTATCAAAGGTAGTTCATCCATATGAGTTATAACAGCCCCCCCAAATGAAGCAGATTCCAAATTAGCAAAAGAGTTGAGCTACAGTATAAAATATGAAGTCAGCCTTACCCACTGCACCCGATGACTTTATTGTACAGATAGGATGGCAAACCTTTCAGGTGAATGTTGTTATCCACGTACACGTATTGTAGTTCTCGAGACCGACCTAAATCTGCATGAGAAAGAGTAGGGTTATAATTCCTATAAATATGTACCAACATAATGTTAAATGTAAAATCTAGTAAACAATACTAGAAATATTTGAAATTCCCATTCTGAAAGACAAAAATGTTCCAGATTTAACTCTGGTGTATAATTATGTCATCGCATCATTAGATTCTGAATCAGGAACTATGACTTTAGAAAAACTACATAATCCACCTGGATTTTGATTTCTTAAACTGTAAAATGTGATCAGTGAGATTAGAATATTATTAAATTTCAATTTAAGAGTAAAGGTTATTTTTGGTTATTTATTTAGTTGCTTCATTTTTTTCCATAGGGGAAAAAAAAATCTGCTATACAAAGTGATTATATTCTCAGGTCAGCCTAAATAAACCTAGCTCTGCATCATTATCAAGATGGATCATGTCTCAACTCCTGGGCAGAAAGGAATGGTGTGGTGAGAGATGGCAAGGAATCTGGGACTGGATGTGTTATGGTCTTTAGAGCCCAGGTGGCTATGGCAATGGGTAAAACATCCAGAATGAGTCAGTGAAGTGTGGAGCTGGGGACTAGACTAGACCTCTCGATCAGCGAGTAGGGCCTGGATTGCATATGTACCAGGAATGTGAAGAAGGAGAACGAAGACCTTGAAAAGGGTTTACAAGAACAGGTATGTCAGAAAGAAGAAGAATTCAGAAAGTTTCCCAGACGTAGCAGGACAGTGGGGGAGACAAGAAGTGGAGACAAATTCAGCGAGGAGGGAAGGTGCAAAGAGCTGAGAGAAATGTCCTGACATACAGGCAACAGGACAATGCTAAGTCTCCAGGCCATCTTTTCCTGTCTCTCACCTAGAGTGCCCAAGCAGGCTTGGGCCAGCTGTCCATCTGACTCCTAGAGCTCACTGAGTAGGGTTGTTTCTGTTCAATCCCACAGCACCATGCTATAGAGTCTTCAGCAACCTTGTGAAAGCAAGAACACAATCTCTGAAAGGTTTTCTAAGGTTCTGCTTGTGAAAAGAGGAAACAGCTTAAAGAATACCTCTCCCATTTTTTTCTTTCTACAATTGAAGAAAAACAAAGGCCCAAATAGGGAAAATTAGGAGGGTGTTAGATGTATTTAACATTAACAACAACAACAACAAAAAGCCATATACCCACTATAAAGCTTTTAGGCAATGTGCTAGTCCTTGAAGCTATACATATGAATGACTATATCATTAATGTTGTTATTAAGTGCCATCGAGTAAGTTCAGATTCATAGTGACCATGTATAGGGTTTCTGGGGAGTGACTGGTGAGCTTGAACTGCCAACCTTGCAGTCAAACTGACCTTGCAGTCCAGTGCATTAAACTCTCAGTGCCACACCAGGATGCCATGTCATTAATATGTGTTTCCAAAACAAAAAAAGCAATAAACACCACTGCCATTGAGTTGGTTCTGATTCATAGTTACCCTAAATTAGATTTTCTAGTCTATAAACCTTTACAGGAGCAGAGTCTTATTTCTCTTCCAGAGATCACTAATAGGTTTAATGTTGACATGGGTAGCAATACAGTGCTTATTTACAGAGCCACCAGGGCTCCTTCAATAGATGTCTGTTGTGGTTGTTAAGTGCCATCAGGTTGTTCTGACTAATAACAACATTATATAGTGTTTACACCATCACTTGTCTGTCAGTTTGTTGTACTGTGGTGGCTTATGTGTTACTGTGATGTTGGAAACCATACCACAGGTATTTTAAATACCGGCAGGGTCCCTCACAGTGGATAGGTTTAGTTGAACTTCCAGAATAAGAAAGACTAGGAATAAAGACAGTTGGATTACTTCTGACTTTTTAACAACTTATGAATAGAAATGGAATGCTGTCTGATAGCACTGGAACACTGGAACATTATACATAGCACCAGAATACAGTAAAATACAATGCCAGAAGGCACTCAAAATATGACTGGGGAAGAGTCATCTCCTCAAAGTAGAGTTGACTGTGATGAAGCAAATGGAGCAAACCTTTTGGGACTTCGTTAGCTGATGGGGCACAACTCAAAATGAGAGAAATAGCTAAAATGATCCATTAATAATAATAACATGTACAAATATGTACATAATTGTACATGGGATGTACAATGTATGAGTCTAGGAAAATTGGAACCTGTCAAAAATTAAATGGAACACATAAAGATCAATATCCTAGCCATCAGTGAGTTGAAACGGACTGGTATTGGCCATTGTGAATATGACTATCATATGGTTTATTATGCTGGGAATGAAAAATTGAAGAGGAATGGCTTTGCATGCATCATCAAAAAGAATATTTCACCATCTATTTTGAAGTATAACGCTGTCTGTGATAGGATAATATCCAAACGTCGACAAGGAAGACCAGGTAATACCACTCTTGTTCAAAATTATGCACCAATAACTAAAGCCAGGGATGATGAAATTTAGGAATTTTACCAACTTACTTACTCTGAAATTGATCAAACATGCAATCAAGATGTACTGATAATTAATTACTGGTGATTAGAATGAAAAAGGATGGAAACAAAGAAGGAAAATCAGTGGTTCAAAAATAAGGTATAGTGATAGAAATGATGCTGGAAAACACATGATAGCATTTTGCAAGATCAATGACTTATTCATTGAAAATATCTTTTTTAAACAACATAATAGACAACTATATACACGGACCTTACCAGATGGATGGAATAGACAGAAATTAAATTGACTACATCTGTGGGAAGAGATGGTGAAAAACCTGTAGATCAGCAGTCAGACAAGGCCAAGAACAGACTGTGAAATAGACCATCAATTGCTCAGATGCAAGTTCATACTGAATATGCAAATTAAAACAGGTCCATCAGAGCCAAAATATGTCCTTGAGCATGTCTCACCTAAGTTTAGAGAACATCTTAATAACAGATTTGATGCATTGGACACTAATGACTAAAAGCCAGAAGAGTTGTAGGATGACATCAAGAACATCACAAAGAAAGAGAGCAAAATGTCTTTTAAGAGGACAAGAAAGAAGAAAAAGACCAAAATGGATGTTAAAAGGGTCTCTGAAATTTTCTCTCCAGTGTAGAGATGCTATAGCAAATGGAAGACATGAGGAAGTAAAATGGTGAAACAGAAAATTTCAAAGAGTAGCTCAAGAAGACAAAGTCAAGTATTATAATGAAATGTGCAAAGACTGGAGTTAGATAACCAATAGGGAAGATTTAAGTTGTCAAAGACTTCATTCTACTTGGATCCACTATCAACACTCAGAAACAGCAGTCAAGAAATGAAATGGTATATTGCATTAAGCAAATCTGCTGCATAAAACCTCTTTGACATGTTCAAAGATGTCAGTTTGAAGATTGAGATGTGCCCATCCAAGACACAATATTTTCAGTAACCTCATATGCATATGAAAATTGGATAATGAAAAGGAAGACTTCAGAAGAATTGATGAATTTGTGTTTTGGTGTTGGAGGAGAATATTAAAAGTACCATGGACTGGCTACCACCCTGAGTCACTGTCTACACAGCTCTGCTGCCTTGCTCCATGCTCTAGCCAATGATATTTGGAGTTCTTACTAAACAATATGGCAGACATCGACAACAAAGAACAGTCTGAACTTGATCAAGATTTGGATGAAGTTGAAGAAATAGAAGAAGAAACTAGTGAAGAAACAAAAATCAAAGTGTGTCAGTTGACTGTTCAGATGATGCAAAATCCTCAGATTCTTGCATCCCTTCAAGAAAATCTTGATGGTCTGGTAGAAACACCAACAGGATACATTGAAAACATGCCTAGAGTAGTTTAAAGACGAGTGAATGCTCTTAAAAATCTTCAAGTTAAATGTGTACAGACAGAACCCAAATTCTATGAGGAAGTTCATGATCTGAAAAGAAAATATGCTGTTCTGTATCAGCCTCTATTTGGCAAGCAATTTGAGATCATCACTGCAATTTATGAGACCACAGAAGAAGAATGTGAGTGGAAATCAGATAAGCAGGATGAAATTTCGGAGGAGTTGAAAGAAAAGGCCAAGGCTAAAGATGAGAAGAAGGATGAAGAAAAAGAAGATCTCAAAGGAATTCCTGAATTTTGACTGAGTGTCTTTAAGAATGTTGACTTGCTCAGTGATATGGTTCACGGCATGACAAACCTATTCTGAAGTACTTGAAAAATATTAAAGTGAAGTTCTCAGATGCTGGCTAGCTTTTTTTTGTTTGTTTTTTAATATATATATATATTACTTTTTATGCTGAATTGAGTGAAGGTTTACAGCGCAGATCTTCAGTTTTACATTCATCAAATCATATACTTCACTGCATTACAATGATTGCAATCCCCTCATGTACCATCAGTTCACTTTAACTCTTACATTCCTATGTCTCCTGCTACCTTCATCTGAACCTTTGCTAACCTCCCTCTTGTTGTATATTGCCTGCTTTGTTACCCACATTAACATGTGCCCACCCTTTAACCCATGAAAAATTTTC